ATGCAGATCTCAGATGTCCTAAGAGATGTAAAGAACATTGATCTCTGCTAAAATAGAACAAGGACAGAACATGACCATTTTAAATTCCTTTAAAAATTTCCAATGTCATGACATCTGTTGTAACATCTGCAGACTGACAGAACTATTTATCTAACCATTTAAATTGTGCAGAATTGTAAATGCTGAAAGATAAATAACACAATGAATTGTTAACCCAGTTCGGTGCAACATCACCTACATCCGGGGGCTACCAAGCCAGGAAGGAAATCCACTATTAGCATAATTAATTCAGAGCTAAACTCCCAGTTTACAACTCCTTACTTAATCTCTATCGAATGCAATTTCTGCCTAGAATACACTAGACAATAGACACCTCTCACTCCCGACAATCACAATAGTGATAAACAATTTAATACAAAAGTAAGACTTTAGAAGACACTCTTCAAAGTCACAATACTTGTTTTGCTTAACAACTTCAATCAAGAATAATACACTCTTGCTTAAAAGCTTTGAGTAAACATTAACACTGTACAAATAACAACCTAAATATGTCTACCACGATGCATCCAAAGATACAAAGGGTGACTTACAAAGTCATACACACAAGAGACTCTCAAAACCCTAAAACACAAAACCACACGTGAAGATTAAGTTACACCAACATAATTCTTCACTACACAATCTCTCAGTCTCTGGATGATTAGGATTGATCCTCTGTTATTTATAGCAGCAGATTTTCTTTGGGCCTTCGCGCAGAAGTTAGGTTTACCCAAGATAAACCTCTCTTCATGAAACTGCGCACGTCCAATTAGGTCAACGGCATTCCATGTTATCCTCAGCAATGCCTGATATATCGCCTGAGATGATTAGGCTTCCTAAAATGTTTCCTGAAGTATAGCCTGAGTTAATACCAAAAACTAAAACCTGCGTGCCCTGATGTCATACGCTTGAAGTTGTAACATTCAGCATGACATCCAACTTAACTTGCTCTTAGCTATCCCAACTTACCCTGCAGAACACCCTTCATGTATGTCATAACATAAGTTATGACATTCACACATACTCTAATGTTTTGCCACAAAATGAAGCCAATCAAAATCATCTACAAATTCGATTTAAGGGTTTAAGGATTTTGAGTATTGAATTGTTGTTGCCTTTCTGTTGAGTTTAATGAGTTTGAGGAATTTGAACTGATGATCTGATATGTTTGAAGCTGATTTGGGAGTAAGGGAAATTAGGTCGTCGTGGCCAAAAATTTGTTGTTGAGGTTTTAACCGTATAGGGTAATTGATTATGAGAACTCTAATGAATATGGGAAAACTTTAAGGATTTTTTCCAGAATTGAACATATATCCATCAATTTCAGAGGTTTTAGGCATAATCTTAAAATAATGATTAGATGGTTTAATTGTGTTAAAATTATAAATTTATTTAAGATAATTACAGTGTTGAGTGGGTTATAATTTTTTGAGAGTTTAGGTGTTTACGTAATCGAAATCAGAGATCCAGAAGGCCTCCAACGGTGAAAAACGCAAAAAATTTTGCATGCTGTCCGTCACGACTGTTCATGTTTTTGGTCGAAATCATTTTGGATGTAACTTTTGATCCTAAAGTCCGTTTTGGTCCCCGTTTGAAGCGTTGGAAAACTAATGAATAGGGCTATAATATGGTATAAATAAGAGAATTGTTTTCCCAATATTTTTATATCTAGTATGTTTGGAAAGTCAATTATGTTCTTGTGCAGTGCTATCTTGATGCTTTGATGCTGTGATTTTCTGGATGAATTACCTTGAGTATGACTTTGATTCATATGTGATTAATACATGATTGTATGATGATTCCTATGAGCAATGATGATGAATTATGATGTTGATTCCATGGGTTTTTGATGATTATATGATGACATGACTATTATGATGATTTTGATGAATGATGATGCACCTAATGAGTTTATTATGAGGATGATATTGACGTGTGCATCATGCATTCATATGCATTCTAGACTTCAGTCTAGTGTTTGATTCTTGTGGCTTCAGTCCCATTGTGAGGATGTGAAGTATTTTGTTATGCTCCAGTTCTTGTGTATAATCGATCCTATTGATGGGGATCTATGGAGAGTTGATGGCCCAGTGTCCATCGAATTTTGATGAATTGGTACACATGCATGAGTCTTGTCGCATTTGCACTTATGAGACAATTTGGTGTAATTTATGATATTATGGCTTTTTGATGTTTCCTTGATGATTATGATGACGTTGAATATGAAAATGACGTTATTTTATATATTGATTCATATATTGATTATTATGAATGGTTTTACTCACCCTGCCTGTTTGAATGTTACCTCCACGTGGGTAACATGCAGATGACCAGGTTTAGCTGTGGATGTCGTCGAGGACTTCTTGGAGTTTTTGACATTTTGGTTGACTTAGAGGGTCTTGCTCTGATAGTGTAACATCGGGTTGGGGTCTTTGAGTTAAACAATGTTTTATTGATTTTTGTTATTTTGATTATGTTGCTGTGCAAGGAAAACTTTGGATTTGTCCTTTTGAGTTCCGCTGCCATTTGAGCAATTTTTGAGTAATTTCGAGAAAACCCGTTGTTACGGAGCATTGACTTTGAGTTGAATTATTGAGAAACTTACGCCCTTTGAGGTGATTTTTATTGTGTTTAAAATATTACTCTGTTTAATGTGATTGATTTGCCATTATATTTTTGGGATAGAAAAGGGTGTTACAACTAACAACTAACAACTAACTTTAATTTCTATTCACTATTCTCTTGCTTTATCCCTGTCTATATTATATTGTTCTTATATCATTATTCATATACCATCTTGTCATCTTCATCTAAACTTATTCAAAACCCTAAAAGACTTTCAAGTGTTGGACTGTGACTACTATCCTCTGCATCATGGAGACTTGGGACACTGTACAGAAGCCCTAAAAAAGGAGCTTTGGATCTTGATTGTCTTTGTATTGTATTACTTTGTCTTAGGAAACCATTGCATATCATTCATAACTTACTCTTGGGCTTTCTTACAATGAGACATATTCAATCAATTACTTCTAGTTTGTCGTCTAAAAGGCTAGCCCACTTTGCTAGTGCATGCTTATTTTATTTGGGTTGTTTGCTCATTATTTATTCCATCCTCATTTGAACAAATGTATCCCCACTCCCATGACGTGTAATAACTTATACCACTTTCTCTTTGCTTGCTAGTTGCTTAGCCTTTCCTTAATTCAAGAATAAAATCAACCACACCTTTTCCAAAGATCACAAATAAGCTTGGTCCAACGTCAAGCATTTTCATAATAAATCAACTCATTAGGTTTCCCAAACCACCAAACCTCTCAACCAATAACATTCCATTTGCATTCACCCTTTGTAAATCGATTTCCTTGTGCATCGCCATCAACCTACCCACTCACCAAAACACTTTTCGTAATAAATCCAACAAACCCTTTATCTAACATCAAGCGTCTTTTTCTTAATTAAACTTAAAAACACAATAAGATACGAGAAAGATTGTGTGCCACAAGCTTTAAGTGGTGAAGAAGGAGTGAGAATGGACATCCATACACCGACTATAATTATTTTAACACAAGGCGTTCGACTTGGTTGATTGAAATAATCGCCTCTACCTATAGTCTTTAGTGCAATCCTAATCAAGAACAATCTCTTCAAAAATCATAAAAACAACGTCAAATCATTCAAACTTCTCTTTTTTGCGCCTTAGGGCCACTCTCATGAAATCTTTTTTCAAGGTAAAATCAACCAACCAACAAACAAACATTACACCACGAGGGTACTTAGGCATGAGGCCAACGTCGAGGCGACTACCCTTAATAAAACAACATCCTTTCATGCACAGACAACCTAGATGGTTCCCGTTGAGTACAACGGATGTGAGGGGTGCTAATACATTTCCCTTGCATAACCGACTTTCGAACCCCGACAATGGCTGAGACGACCTTATCCTATCCTCTTTTTTTGATTCCCTTGGGTTTTCTCGATATTTTTTCTTCCCCTCTTTTGCAAATAAATAAATTTCAGTGACGAATCTTCTGTCAAGTCCAATCGACGAGATTTTCTTGTGAGATCGCGTTCTCTCATTTTTTGAGGTGCGACAAATAGCACGACGGTGTGAGACTTGATCGGATAGTAAAAACCAGAAATTAATCTTAAATACAACGAGAGCGCTTTAGACATTAATTAGGACTTATTTAGTTTTAAAAAAATACTTCTTGATTCAAATGGGCGAGCGAGAGCAAAATCTCATGGTCTAGGAGTATAACTTTAATCAATAGCGCGAAAGTGTGAGATAAAAGTTTTTAAACTGGTATTTTCTACTAAAAGTAATTTAACGTCAAACCAACGCCAACAAATTATTGAGCCCCTGAGGTACAATGGAATCCACATTCCGCTATCTCTTTTCTGTTATATTTTCTAAATCTTAATTTAGTTGTAATTTCCCCAAGTTCAAATTTAATTAACTTTATCTTTACATAGCAACAATAAATAAAGAGATTTGACATTGATCTCTATGAATTTAACAATCTTTTATGTTATTTCGATATTCTGTGCACTTGCGGATGCATTTGCGGACGTATCACCTAACACTTATATTGTAGCATGAGAAAAAAAATATAAGTAATACATCTTCTTTTATAATAAAAAAAAGACATTATGCAGTTGGCTTTTTTGTTTTTTTGTGAAAAAAAATCAATTTAAACAAAAATAGTAATTAGTTTTAAGATTTTTGAGTTAACAACATAGATTTGTTTTAAAGAAATTTTAAAAACTATTTTAATTGAGAAAATGATTTGAGTAGTTTAGCTTAAACATCATTTCTTTATCATAATTGATTATTCTAAAAAAGTATAAACAAGCTTTGTTTTTTTTGTTTGTTTTGGACACAATATAAACAAGCTTTGTTGAAAGCAAAATAAAGTGGCACACACTCAAAACGCACTCATCCAAAAACCCTGAATTTGGTCATGGTGTTCTCTGCCGCGCTTTCTTCTTCAACCTTCATTCTTCCATCTCCATTTCGATCCCACTCCTTCACACCTCGATCCACCGCATTTCCTCACCGCAAACTCTTCAAAACCCGAATGGAAGCCCAAACCAACCCCACTGACCATGCAGCAAACCCCAAAGAAGCTAAACTCTGGGGTGGAAGATTCCAAGAAAGCGTCACCGACACCGTTGAACGATTCACCGAATCCGTCTCTTACGATAAGCAGTTATACAAACATGACATTCTCGGAAGCACAGCGCATGCAACCATGCTCGCGAAACAGGTACTAGTAATTACTAATTTTAATGGTTTAATTCAATGTAGCTTTTTTTATAATCACTTATTGATTGTTATAAGAAAAATGTGTTTTTTTAGGGTTTGATCAGTGAGAGTGATAGGGATTCTATAATTGAAGGTTTGAAAGAGATTGAAAAGAGAATTGAGAATGGTGAGTTTAGTTGGAGAACTGATAGAGAAGATGTTTATATGAATATTGAAGCTGCACTTACTGATTTGATCGGTGAACCTGCTAAGAAGCTACATACTTCGCGGAGTAGAAATGATCAAGCTGTTACTGATCTCAGACTTTGGTGTCGCGATGCTATTGATGAGATTGTTGCGAGTATGAGACAGTTTCAGGTTTCGCTTCTTAGGCTGGCTTTGAATAATCAGGATGTTATTGTTCCTGGTTATACTCATCTGCAGCGCGCGCAGCCGGTTTTAATTCAGCACCTTCTGCTTGCTTATGTCGAAGAGGTTTGCTCTGAAATTTAATTGATGCTTTGCATGCTTTAAATTATTGTTAACGGAAACATTTATTTTAGCTTTATGGATTTACCTTCTATAATGTGCTTTGCTATGTAAAATTAGTAATCTCAAAGTGTTGATGAGAAAAACATTTGTTGATGTTCCAATACATCCTTGATTTGTTGTTTATGTGCATGCAAAATCAGTTGTTGAAATTAACAGTTTAGATTGCTTAGTTAGTTACCTTGTAAAGTTAATTGCGTAGGTTAGAGTCAAATCCTAACATCATTGTTGTTGACTTGTTGTAAAAGAAGTTCATATTTTCTGGTTCATTTATTCAGTTGTGGAGTAGGTAGTTTGGATTTGGGGATTAGTTATTTAGCTCATTTAATTATATTGATCCTTTTTGCTGTTGTAGATTGAACGTGATGCTGGTCGTTTGATTGATTGTAGAGCTAGGCTGAATTTCAGTCCTTTAGGGGCTTGTGCACTGGCCGGTACAGGGCTCCCTATTGATCGCTTCATGACATCAGATGCATTGGGATTTACAGCTCCAATGAGGAATAGGTATCTTGCTTTTTACTTGCTTGAAATCAATTCATTTAGTTGCACTTGACATATAATTAATGTTAACTATGTGAATCTTCAAATGCATCTTTTTTACTTAAATAACTGATTATATTGTTATATTGAATAGTATTGATGCAGTTTCTGACCGAGATTTTCTACTGGAGTTTCTTTCTGCTAATGCCATCACAGCAGTGCATCTTTCCCGACTTGGTGAAGAATGGGTATTGTGGGCTTCAGAGGAATTTGGATTTATCACTCCAAGCGACTCTGTTTCAACAGGAAGCAGCATAATGCCTCAGAAAAAGAATCCAGACCCAATGGAACTTGTTCGTGGTAAGTCTGGCAGAGTCATAGGGGGTTTGGTCACTCTTCTAACGGTGTGCAAAGGACTTCCACATGCTTACAATCGCGATTTGCAGGTAGTTAGATAATCAAAGCATATTTTATTGCTGTGCTTGTTTTATTTTTCTGTTATTGTATTTGATTGTTTTGTTTAAGCACTATTTATTTGAGATTCATTAAAGAAAGTTGCTTTCTGTTGTAAGTAGGAAGACAAAGAACCAGTGTTTGACAGTGTTAGAGCTATTTTGGGAATGCTTGAAGTCTCGTCAGAATTTGCAATGAACATTACTTTCAATCGGGAAAGAATACAAAAATCTTTACCTGCTGGTTTTCTTGATGCAACAACACTTGCTGACTATCTTGTTAAGAAGGTAAGTCACATTAATTTAGCCTTCTCTCAATAAGCATCCCGTTTGTAATAAAGTTTATGAAGTGAAAGCATGTTAACATCAGCTGCATGCCGCTGTCCAAGTTCAAATTTGAACCGATCTCAAATCCATGTCAATGTCACCCATTACTGGCTGCCTTCATAAATATTTCTCTCATTCTTTCAAGAAAACAAAATCAAACTCCTTTTCCCTCTCATTCTTTAGAACCATTAGAATGTAAAAATAGAAGCATATAAAGTTTTTATCTTATGAAGTCTCATGCACCAAATGCAAAAAGCTACTGATCTATAAGTTTTCCATGTTGATTATGATCCGAAATCCGCAGTTGTCAAATTACATGTGTCTATTGTTACCAATCTGTCCATTTTCAGGATTAGATGTCTGAACAATGACGACCTTTCTTCTCTCATAAATTTAAAATTAAATCCTCTCTCCCCAACCAAAAATATGACATGTCCTTGCAATCCTGGGTTTATACCTTCATATTTAGAGCATTTTCCATAGGTCCTTGTTTGTGTCTCTTTTTCTCTATCTTGGAAGCGGTAAGGCCAATGAGCATGGAACAATTTGGTCTTCTCCTTTCCTTTTAGTAAGAAATGTGTATGTTTTAGTTTTGACATTGAGCGATGAGAGCAAACATAAATATGCTGCATATTCTTGCAGTTGTATTTGTTCATGATAATATAATGTTTTCTGGACTTATCACTCATTGTTGTTAGCATGTTGTATCAATACATTTCTGGAATTAGTTATGACTTATGAATTGTGTTCACTTTTCTTCACATTCAGGGTGTGCCGTTCAGAACATCTCATGAAATAGCTGGGAAATCTGTTGCCTTGTGTACTTCGAAGAATTGTCAACTGCTGGACTTGAGCCTTGATGAGCTGAGAAGTATAAATCCTGTCTTTGACAATGATGTGTATGAATTTCTTGGGGTAGAAAACTCGGTCAAGAAATTTGTTTCGTATGGTTCCACCGGGTCTGCTTGTGTTGCCGAGCAACTTGATTATTGGACTAAGAAGCTTGAAATTAAGTGAAGATTGTCCTAGCTGTCAGCCTGTCACCAGGGAAGCCGTTTATCAAGACTTGTAATAATAAACTTGTGCTTACCATATAACCTGCTGCATATTTGAATAGGCCGGGGTGTATCAAATGTAGTCGGGTTATCAATCAAAAATATTAGTCCGGGTATCTGAGTGTAGTTTTAGAATTTCAAGAAGCATGTATGCCTTGAAACCACGGGCTTATTTCTTGCATCATGAGCTGCAGGACAATAATTTCATCATGCAGAGTGAATCTATGTATCTTTAAATGAAATAAAGTTTTGTTGTGGCCATGTGTTGAATGAGTTTCTTTAAATGTTGGAAACGTTTCCATTGCATATTCATCATCACTTGTTGGTGGAGTTTGCAGCTATCTAAATCACAATTCTCGATATCAAAAATGGAATGATGTTTGGGTTGTTTTGTAGTCTCATTGTTGTCACTTTCATTTGGAAGTATTGTGGTCCAATCAACATCAACTTCATCACCAAAATCACATTCACCAAGATAATTGTCATCATCGTCATTTTTTTTACTGCTCGTATCGTCATTAGGATCAGATTCATTATCCTCATTAACCTCGTGAACCTCCTCATTAACCCCATTAAACTCTCATGAACAACCTCATTAACATCATAAACCTCCTCAACATTCACTTCTACCTCAAGCTCATTTGTCACATATGGTATGTCAACAATGTGTTCCACATTAACATTAATCAGCTCGGTCCTTTAATATGATCAACAAATTTTAGGAAGTTTTACCCTATACCCCTACACTTATACCTATATCCCTACATTAAAAAATTTTGGACCAAAATATCCTCGTATAAAAGTTTATTATTTTTTAATTTTTTTTATATTTTTTTATCGGTTCACATTTTTTTAGTATGTTTACCGGAAGACTTCCGGTTCATGTTTTTTTTTAATTTGTAATTAATATTTAAAATTTATTAATTTTATATAAAGATCAATTTAGTAAATTTTTGAATATTATATTTTAAAATATAAAAATTCTATAAATAGAGAATCAGTTTCAGAATATTTATAATTATTAGAATACTAGGATTAAAATCATTTATTTTAAATGATCATAATAGTAGAATTTTCTCAAATATCTTATTAATCTTAAACATTAATAAATAAAATAAATTTAAATATAAGATATAAGTTTACATTATTCAATATATTTAATCAAATGAAAACATATGTGATAAATAAATAATGTATTTTAACTTAAAATGATCACAATAAGTTAACTTGCAAAATAATATAAGTAATAAATTAATAATGTATTTTATTTAAAATAATCACAATAATAAAATACGCAAATAATGTGTTTTATTTATAGGACTGATATAGTTTTATTGATTATTTAATTTTGAATACTACTATGAATATAGTATTTAATCTATACTTTAGAACTCACATAATTATAAATATAAAAAATATTATTTTATTACCCATATTTTTATTTAATTAAAAAAAATAAGAATATAAATTTATTATTTGTTTTTCATTTTTGTTTGATGTTTTTAATTATTTCACTTTATTTAATATTTTTAATAAAATAAATAATATATTTTATTTAAAGTAAGCACAGTATAGAATATGCAAAAAATTTATAAATAAAAAAAAGATCAAACGAAAATGAAAAACAAATAATAAATTTATATTCTTATTTTTTTTAATTAAATAAAAATATGGGTAATAAAACAATATTTTTTATATTTATAATTATGTGAGTTCTAAAGTATAGATTAAATACTATATTCATAGTAGTATTTAAAATTAAATAATCAATAAAACTATATCAGTCCTATAAATAAAACACATTATTTGCGTATTCTATTATTGTGATTATTTTAAATAAAATACATTATTAATTTATTACTTATATTATTTTGCAAGTTAACTTATTGTGATCATTTTAAGTTAAAATACATTATTTATTTATCACATATGTTTTCATTTGATTAAATATATTGAATAATGTAAACTTATATCCTATATTTAAATTTATTTTATTTATTAATGTTTAAGATTAATAAGATATTTGAGAAAATTTTATTATGATCATTTAAAATAAATGATTTTAATCTCATTGTATTCTAATAATTATAGCAAATAGAAAATATTCTGAAAATAATTCTCTATTTATAGAATTTTTATATTTTAAGTATAATATTCAAAAATTCACTAAATTGGTCTTTATATAAAGTTAATAAATCTTAAATATTAATTACAAATTAAAAAAAAATATGAACCGGAAGACTTTTTATAAAGTTAACAAATCTTAAATATTAATTACAAATTAAAAAAAAATATGAACCGGAAGACTTCCAAAAAACCTTCCGGTAAACATACGAAAAAAATATAAAAAATATTTTTTGGAGAGGAGGGATAATATTGATTACCGAACTAATGATTAGTCGTTGAGTAGAAAAGGTATATGGTCGTTGTTTCAAAAAAATAGGAGGTGAGATAATATGATTAGTCGTTGTTTAGAAGTTTAGAATTGCCTCCCCGGATCTATAATTGTCTTAAAAAGTCCAATATACATACAGTATTTGAATTTTTGAATAAGAGTCAAGAAGACCTTATGAAAATTGAACATTTTCGCGTAGAAGATTTAAAAAATATATTAAACATTTTACAAATCGAAAATCATTTTGTATAAATTGAAAATCCATTGGATTTTTTTGAATCTTTCATTTTTTTTTATTTATAAAAAGAAAGCTTCCAATATTAAATTTGAATCTTTAGCACAAATCAATATATTCAGAATAGGTATAAAATGAAATAGATGGATCTAGGGATTAGTCATTTCAAAGTGAATTTTCCCTAGATACACAATACACCTGTCATGATATTTTATTTGACAATAGAATCAATTTAAAAAATCCCTAACGTTAGGGATTTTTCAATAGGTAATGTTGCTCCAATACCCAACCAAAGAGCCACGACGGTACCAATCAAAAAGACGGTTGTTGCTACTGGACGCCGAAATGGGTTTTGGAACTTATTAACATTTTCCAAAAAAGGTACTGTTAATAATCCCGTACGTTATTTCGTACTGTATTGTACAATTCCTTTGTTTGGGGAATTATTTTATCACGCGATAAAAAATGAAATTATAGAATGGATTGCTACCTATGACTAGATCTCGGATAAATGGAAATTTTATTGATAAGACCTTTACCATTGTAGCCAATATCTTATTACGAACAATTCCCACAACTTCTGGAGAAAAAGAGGCATTCACTTATTACAGAGATGGTGCGATTTGATTATTTTTTTTTTTACCGATCTCAGTCTTAGGAGAAAGATACATTCTTCAGAGACAAATCAAAAAAAACCGACGCTTGCTGAAGGTGAAGTTTGGAAATAAAACGATTAATCCCTTCTGTCGTGTATTCCCGATTAATGCAGCCTCAATATGCTTCAATTTTAGGTTTATAGTATTAAGCGAAAGGTTATACCTATATATACCTATTTATGGGGTTAGGTGAATCCTACTCCACTAGTACAAATAGGCGGCATGGGGGAAGAAGCACTACGCTAGGGAATCAACAACAGGAGAAAAATTTGTAAAAAAAATCCTTCCTTTCTTATCGGGATCGGGACTAACTAGAATGGTTGGGACAACAAACATCCATCTCGTTCGTATTTTGGATACCCATATAACCATCAAAGACTGTTGAAGTGACTAATTCCGGAAAATTAAGCGGCGTTGAGGACAAATAAATTGTTGAAGTTACGATTGATTTATCCAGTAATAACTTACTAAATGTTAATAAAAGATCCTTTACAAAAAGGTTGGCTAGAGATTTCGTGTAAAAACACTAGTCCCGCTCAGTTGATAATGAGAATATTGCAATCTTTTTTGATTCCATGGATGTTTCTCATTATCCACATAAAGGAGGAGCCGTATGAGATGACAATCTCACGTACGGTTCTGGAACGGAGATTCTTTGAACCGAATGACGACCGTAACGGATGTCGGCTCAATCTGAAGGAAATTATGCGGAAGCTTTACAGAATTATTATGAGGCGATGCGACTGGAAATTGATCCCTATGATCGAAGTTATATACTTTATAACATCGGCCTTATCCACACAAGTAACGGAGAACATACAAAAGCTTTGGAATACTATTTTCGGGCACTCGAACGAAACCCTTTCTTACCTCAAGCTTTTAACAATATGGCCGTGATCTGTCATTACGTGCGACTATCTCCACTATAGAAAGAAAAAAGAAAAGAACCTCCACTAATAGTCATAAATACTAGACAAAAAAAATAGGCTTTCTACATATATATCGTTCGAAACAACGATTTTTATGAGCTGTAGCAAAGAAAGAAACTTCATATTCATAGAAGTAAAAATATGAAGAAATAGAATATATATATATATGCCTAGATACTTTTTTCTATGGATAAAAGATCTAATTGATAAAGGAAGCACCGTAAAGATCAATTAACAAGGTTTTTGGCCGATACAACCAGAACTGCTTACTTATATGATGATAGATTCGAAATCAACTTATGTAATAAAGTTGATCCCCGAAGGTTTTGAGCAGCGGTGTAGTATCAGATCCCAAAGATAGTAAGTCTTTTCTTATGAAGAAAAGTCTTTCTCACAAATTCTATAGAAATAGATATATTATATATGAAATGATATATGAACTCGAGATAGTTACCTTTGAGAAAATTCAAATAAGAGCGTTAGTATTAATGTCGATGCCTTCTTCTTCAGAAGGTAGGAGAAAAGATAAAACTAAAAACAAAGGATTCAATTGAATTATTAATCCAAATTCAAGTTTTAAACTCATGTAATTAACCTCTTTTCTTGTTATTAACTCCAGAAAAAATGGAAGATCAAAAGAATTGACTGTTGAGCCGTATGAGTCAGGAAACTCTCAAGTACGGTTCTAAGGGAAGGATTTTACTCCCCTATTCCGACCGCGGAGAACAGGCCATTCGACAGGGAGATTCTGAAATTGGAGAATCTTGGTTTGATCAAGCTGCTGAATATTGGAAACAAGCTATAGCCCTTACCCCTGGTAATTATATTGAGGCACAGAATTGGTTGAAGATCACAGGGCGTTTTGAATAAGAACAGTCTTTTTATTATTTTCTTTTTTTTATTCTAATTCAAATATTATTGTCTATATTTTATTCTCTAATAGAGAATAAAATATATAGAAAATCCATTATATATATTGAATTTTTGATAGTTTATTGTCCCCATCAATCAAATAAAAGGGTCCGTTGAGCGCCTCACTGCTATGTCATAATGGATCCGAACACTTGCCCCGGATTCACTTCCGGATCCTAATTGTTCTAGTGAATAACTCAAGAAAATATGGAATAGATGGGAGATAGAAGAGAAAGATATTCAATATAAACATTTCTCATAAGTTCACGAATTATGTTTTATGTTGGCGGGTCTCTTTGTATGTGTTGTCCGGAAAGAGGAGGACTCAATGATTATTCGTTCGCCGGAACCAAAAGTCAAAATTTTGGTAGATAGGGATCCCATAAAAACTTCTTTCGAGCAATGGGCAAAACCTGGTCATTTCTCAAGAACAATAGCTAAGGGACCTGATACTACTACTTGGATCTGGAACCTACATGCTGATGCTCATGATTTCGATAGCCATACTAGTGATTTAGAGGAGATTTCCCGAAAAGTATTTAGTGCTCATTTCGGTCAACTCTCCATTATCTTTCTTTGGCTGAGTGGCATGTATTTCCATGGTGCTCGTTTTTCAAATTATGAAGCATGGCTAAATGATCCTACTCACATTCGACCTAGTGCCCAGGTGGTTTGGCCAATAGTAGGCCAAGAAATATTGAATGGTGACGTAGGGGGAGGTTTCCGGGGAATACAAATAACCTCCGGTTTTTTTCAGATTTGGCGAGCATCTAGAATAACTAGTGAATTACAACTTTATTGTACTGCAATTGGTGCGTTGGTCTTTGCAGCCTTAATGCTTTTTGCTGGTTGGTTTCATTATCACAAAGCTGCTCCAAAATTGGCTTGGTTTCAAGATGTAGAATCCATGTTGAATCACCATTTGGCAGGTCTACTAGGACTTGGGTCTCTTTCTTGGGCGGGGCATCAAGTACATGTATCTTTACCAATTAACCAATTTCTAAATGCTGGAGTAGATCCCAAAGAGATCCCACTTCCTCATGAATTTATCTTGAATCGGGATCTTTTGGCTCAACTTTATCCAAGTTTTGCTGAGGGAGCAACCCCATTTTTTACCTTGAATTGGTCAAAATATGCGGACTTTCTTACTTTTCATGGAGGATTAGACCCACTAACTGGTGGTCTATGGCTTACTGATATTGCACATCATCATTTAGCTATTGCAATTCTTTTTCTCATTGCGGGTCATATGTATAGAACTAACTGGGGTATTGGTCATGGTATAAAAGATATTTTAGAAGCCCATAAAGGTCCATTTACAGGCCAGGGTCATAAAGGGCTATATGAGATCCTAACAACGTCATGGCATGCTCAATTATCTATTAACCTAGCTATGTTAGGCTCTTTGACCATTATTGTAGCTCACCATATGTATGCTATGCCTCCTTATCCATACCTAGCTACTGATTATGGTACACAACTGTCATTGTTCACACATCACATGTGGATTGGGGGCTTTCTCATAGTTGGTGCTGCTGCACATGCAACCATTTTTATGGTAAGAGACTATGATCCAACTACTCGATACAACGATCTATTAGATCGTGTTCTTAGACATCATGATGCAATCATATCACATCTCAACTAGGTGTGTATATTTTTAGGTTTTCACAGTTTTGGGTTGTATATTCATAATGATACCATGAGTGCTTTAGGGCGCCCTCAAGATATGTTTTCAGATACCGCTATACAATTACAACCTGTCTTTGCTCAATGGATACAAAATACCCATGCTTTAGCACCTGGCACAACAGCCCCTGGTGCAACAACAAGCACCAGTTTGACTTGGGGCGGTGGTGATTTAGTGGCAGTGGGCGGCAAAGTAGCTTTGCTACCTATTCCATTAGGAACCGCAGATTTTTTGGTACATCATATTCATGCATTTACAATTCATGTGACGGTATTGATACTCCTAAAAGGTGTTCTATTTGCTCGTAGCTCACGCTTGATACCGGATAAAGCAAATCTTGGTTTTCGGTTCCCTTGTGATGGCCCGGGAAGAGGGGGGACATGCCAAGTATCCGCTTGGGATCATGTCTTCCTAGGATTATTTTGGATGTACAATGCAATTTCTGTAGTAATATTCCATTTCAGTTGGAAAATGCAATCAGATGTTTGGGGAAGTATAAATGATCAAGGAGTAATAACTCATATCACAGGAGGAAACTTTGCGCAGAGTTCGATTACCATTAATGGGTGGCTTCGCGATTTCTTATGGGCGCAGGCATCCCAGGTAATTCAGTCTTATGGTTCCTTATTATCTGCATATGGTCTTTTTTTCTTAGGCGCCCATTTTGTATGGGCTTTTAGTTTAATGTTTCTATTCAGCGGGCGTGGTTATTGGCAAGAACTTATTGAATCCATCGTTTGGGTTCATAATAAATTAAAAGTTTCTCCTGCTACTCAGCCTAGAGCCTTAAGCATTGTACAGGGACGTGCTGTAAGAGTAACACATTACCTTCTGGGTGGAATTGCCACAACGTGGGCATTCTTCTTAGCAAGAATTATTGCAGTAGGATAATGGCTAGGAGGATTTGAAAAGCATTATGGCATTAAGATTTCCAAGGTTTAGCCAAGGCTTAGTTCAGGACCCCACTACTCGTCGTATTTGGTTTGGTATTGCTACCGCACATGACTTCGAGAGTCATGATGATATTACTGAGGAACGTCTTTATCAGAATATTTTTGCTTCTCATTTCGGACAATTAGCAATCATTTTTCTGTGGACTTCCGGGAATCTCTTCCATGTAGCTTGGCAAGGAAATTTTGAGGCATGGGTACAGGATCCTTTACATGTAAGACCTATTGCTCATGCAATTTGGGATCCCCATTTTGGTCAACCGGCTGTAGAAGCTTTTACGCGAGGGGGTGCGCTTGGCCCAGTGAATATTGCCTATTCCGGTGTTTATCAGTGGTGGTATACAATTGGTTTACGTACTAATGAGGATCTTTATACTGGAGCTATTTTTCTATTATTTCTTTCTTTCATATCCTTATTAGCGGGCTGGTTACACCTACAACCGAAATGGAAACCGAGCGTTTCGTGGTTTAAAAATGCCGAATCCCGCCTCAATCATCATTTGTCAGGACTATTTGGAGTCAGTTCCTTAGCTTGGGCAGGGCATTTAGTCCATGTGGCTATTCCAGGATCCAGAGGGGAATATGTTCGATGGAATAATTTCTTAAGTGTATTGCCTCATCCTCAAGGATTAGGGCCATTTTTTACAGGTCAGTGGAATCTTTATGCTCAAAACCCTGATTCTAGTAATCATTTATTTAGTACTTCGCAAGGTGCAGGAACTGCCATTCTAACACTTCTCGGGGGATTCCATCCTCAAACGCAAAGTTTATGGCTTACCGATATGGCCCATCATCATTTAGCTATTGCAATTCTTTTTCTAATTGCTGGTCATATGTATAGAACTAACTTCGGTATTGGGCACAGTATAAAAGATATTTTAGAAGCGCATATTCCTCCGGGGGGTAGATTGGGGCGTGGACATAAGGGTCTTTATGACACAATCAATAATTCAATTCATTTTCAATTAGGCCTTGCTCTAGCCTCGTTAGGGGTCATTACTTCTTTGGTAGCTCAACACATGTATTCGTTACCTGCTTATGCGTTTATAGCACAAGACTTTACTACTCAAGCTGCGTTATATACTCATCATCAATACATTGCAGGATTTATTATGACGGGGGCGTTTGCTCATGGAGCTATCTTTTTTATTAGAGATTACAATCCCGAACAGAATGAGGATAATGTATTGGCAAGAATGTTAGAGCACAAAGAAGCTATCATATCCCATTTAAGTTGGGCCAGCCTATTTCTGGGGTTCCATACTTTGGGACTTTATGTCCATAATGATGTCATGCTTGCTTTTGGCACTCCGGAGAAACAAATCTTGATCGAACCCATATTTGCCCAATGGATACAATCTGCTCACGGTAAAACTTCATATGGTTTCGATGTACTTTTATCTTCAACGAATAGTCTGGCGCTCAATGCGGGGCGAAGCATATGGTTGCCGGGTTGGTTAAATGCTATTAATGAGAATCGTAATTCTCTATTCTTAACAATCGGGCCTGGAGACTTCTTGGTTCATCATGCTATTGCTCTTGGTTTACATACAACTACATTGATCTTAGTAAAAGGTGCTTTAGATGCACGTGGTTCCAAGTTAATGCCGGATAAAAAGGATTTTGGTTATAGTTTTCCTTGCGACGGTCCGGGACGAGGTGGTACTTGTGATATTTCTGCTTGGGACGCATTTTATTTGGCAGTTTTCTGGATGTTAAATACCATTGGATGGGTTACTTTTTATTGGCATTGGAAGCACATTACATTATGGCAAGGTAATGTTTCACAATTTAATGAATCTTCAACCTATTTGATGGGATGGTTAAGAGATTATCTATGGTTAAATTCTTCACAACTTATCAATGGATATAACCCCTTTGGTATGAATAGTTTATCAGTCTGGGCGTGGATGTTCTTATTTGGACATCTTGTTTGGGCTACTGGATTTATGTTCTTAATCTCATGGCGCGGATATTGGCAGGAATTGATTTAAACTTTAGCATGGGCTCATGAACGCACACCTTTGGCGAATTTGATTCGATGGAGAGATAAACCTGTGGCTCTTTCGATTGTCCAAGCAAGATTGGTTGGATTAGTCCACTTTTCGGTAGGTTATATATTTACTTATGCAGCTTTCTTGATTGCCTCTACATCAGGTAAATTTGGTTAATTTCATTCTTTATTGTATCTCCAAAAATTGAATCTCTTTGTATGAAGAAGGTGCTTCTTCTATTTCTACATCTAGGATCCGACTTATTTCTATCATTGATACTAATAGGAAATGAATCATCATCATAATGGCAAAGAAAAGTAGCATTGCCAGGGAGAAGAAGAGGCAAAAATTGGAAAAAAAATATCATTTGATTCGACGATCTCCAAAAAAAGAAATGAGCAAAGCTCAGTCGTTAAGTGAGAAATGGGAAATTAAGGCAAAGTTCGAAGCACTACCGCGTAATAGTGCACCTACACGTCTTCATTGACGTTGTTTTGCGACTGGAAGATCACGAGGTAATTATCGACACTTTGGATTATCTAGACACGCACTTCGTGAAATGGTTCACCAATGTTTGTTGCCCGGTGCAACAAGATCGAGTTGGTAAGAATAAAAAATTCTCTTCATTTTTTTATTCTTTTTGATGATCTGCGATCATAGGACGGTCCCTTGACCATTCCGTATAAATGGTTTATTCTATTTGTACAGATATGGTGGAGGGGCGGCAGACAAATTCAATCTCTGTTTTCCATTAATTGTCAATTGTTCTTCTTATGGCATGGCGGAGTGGAGCAACTTGGTAGCTCGCAAGGCTCATAACCTTGAGGTTACGGGTTCAAATCCTGTCTCCGCACCATTTTGGATAAAAATGGAAATTCACTTATATATATATTTGATAATATCAAGAAATATACTATTCAATACAGAAGTAACGGCGGATAGCGGGAATTGAACCCGCGTCTTCTCCTTGGCAAAGAGAAATTATACCATTCAACTATATCCGCATTTTTTTATTCTAATTGATACTTTCTATATCAATTCGATTTGTGCAGAGATGTGTTTGATATCTATTAGGAGTGATCAATAAAAAAGTCGAAATCTATAGATATATATATATATATCTTATCTTTAATCAATTTCTCTATGTATGTATTAGATAAAGGATACATACATAGAGAAATTGATTTATCCAAAAGATTTGACTTCAATTGAAATTGGGTTAGTGATGAAGTCGGAGGGTTTCCTCGAAGCATCCATGGCTGAGTGGTTAAAGCACCCAACTCATAATTGGCGAAGTCGTGGGTTCAATTCCTACTGGATGCATCCCCATAGAAATATCCCCCACTCGATTTTTGTTACAGAATGAAATTTGTAAATACAGCTACATGATTATCTGAATTATATTGACTATATTCATTCTTTATCTTCTTTTCAAAAAAAAAAACGATTGGATCCGTATCAATATCAATGGAATCTCATCATCCATCAATAACAAAGGTGTGGTCGATTCAATCCAATTATGTTAGAATAGTTATAATAACATTTGATCTGTATCAATGGACGATGGACTCCCAAGAAACGGTAGAAGAATGCGACCTATTATGGGACATACAATGCATTACAAACGTATGATCATTATGCTTGAACCGACTTATTCGATTCCTTAGAATCGGGTTATTCTATTCCACCTCTTAGTTAGAAAGAAAAGAACTTAAACAATTAATAACATGGCGATACATAAAACTTCGAGCCCGAGCACACGCAATGGAGCCTTAAACAGTCAAGTGAAATCCAATTCACGAAATCGTTTGATTTCTGGACAACATCATTGTTGTAAAGGGCGTAATGCCAGAGGAATTATTACCGCAGGGCATAGAGGGGGAGGTCATAAGCGTCTATACCGTAAAATTGATTTTCGACGCAATGAAAAAGACATATATGGTAGAATCATAACTATAGAATATGACCCTAATCGAAATGCACACATTTGTCTCATACACTATGGGGATGGTGAGAAAAGATATATTTTACACCCCAGAGGGGCTATAATTGGAGATACCATTGTTTATGGTACATAAGTTCCTATAAAAATGGGAAATGCCCTACCTTTGAGTGCGGTTTGAACTATTGATTTACGTAATTGGAAGTAACCAATTAGGTTTATGGCGAAACCTAGAAATCGATCTCTTATCCAATTGGAGTACCTCTACAGGATAGACTTCAACAGAAAACTGAAGAGTAACGGCAGCAAGTGATTGAGTTCAGTAGTTGCTAATATACCATTATTGACCCTAGAGATATAGTAATATGGAGAAGACAAAATTGTTTCAAGCACCGACAGAACACGAAGCGCTCCTCGTTTCAAACAAATAAGGGGAAGACCCGGATTATTCACATTTCATTTGATGGTCAAGGACAAATTGAAAGCGAAGCAGTGGTAATTCTAAGGATTCCCCCGGGAAAAAATAGAAATGTCTCCTACGTTACCCGTACTAGGTGTAAGTAGCAACGTAATTTCATAGAGTCATTCGGTCTGAATGCTACATGAAGAACATAAGCCAGATGAAGGAACGGAACAGAAAGACCTAGGATGTAGAAGATCATAACATGAGTCATTCGGAAGATTTGGATTCGTATAATATATATCCACTCATGTGGTATGGTACTTCGTTATGTCATTTATAATCTACGAAATAAACGATATATAAGATGCAGCTGTATAGATATTAGAATCTACATCCAGAAAGCCGTATGCTTTGGAAGAAGCTTGTACAGTTTGGGAAGGGGTTTTGATAAGAATCTACTTCAACCGATATGCCGTTAGGCACGGCCATACATAACATAGAAATAACACTTGGAAAGGGTGAACAATTAGCTAGAGCAGCGGGTGCTGTAGCGAACTTTAAAAGTTCTTCTGTTAAGCCCCGATCAATGAATCTACAAAATC